GGTAGACACTTACTTTAGGAAGCTGGATGTCCTTCTCTGAACATTGAAAGAGCACAGACAAGCACTTGATTGAGGGTGGTCATTCCGATGACTCCAAATGCCATGTGACAATGGCAAATGTAGTGTCTCCTATTAAGACATGAGGCAAAGACACCTTTGATCTGACCAATGCTTATAAATACTTAAAGGGTGGGTGTCAGGAGGATGGGGCGGGTCTTTTCTCAGTGGTGCCCAGGGACAGGACAAGAAGAAACGGGCACAAACTTAAACACAGGAAGTTCCATCTAAACACAAGAAGGAACTTCTTTCCTTTGAGGGTGGCAGAGCCCTGGAAGAGGCTGCCCAGGGAGGTGGTGGAGTCTCCTTCTCTGGAGACATTCAAAACCCACCTGGACACGTTCCTGTGCAACCTGCTCTTGGTGACCATGCTCTGGCAGGGGCGTTGGACTAGATGATCTCCAGAGGTCCCTTCCAACCCCATATCATCCTGTGATTCCGTGATCTGTCCCCACTGTTTTAAACAAAAAAAAAAAAAACCAACACCCTAGCCCTCTAAATAACTGCAAAATGAGCTGAACACCAACATGCAGCAATGAAATACGTATCACGGCCAACAAATCTCATCTTTCTTCCTTTGTTTGGACAGGCTGCCCCAGAAAGGAGTTCCTGGTGAGCAGGAAGGTCACTAGGAGAGATGATGAAGAGTCAGGATGAGGACAGATCTCATTAAATCAGGTTCCAGGCTACAAACTACCAACAGGGGCCTCACCGTTTGGCAGTGACAGGAAGAGAACAAAGACATGGACATACTGGTTGATAACAGGATCAAGCGGCTGTATGTGACCACGGTAAAGGCCATGACAGACACAAGAGCGGTGCTGCAAAGTCAAGGAAGGGATTACTGCCAGGTTACAAAAACCACCAGCACCCTACAAGAGTGTGTGTAGCTCCTCTCATGCACGTGGCAGCAGGATGAATTCCAACTGGATCTGATGTACACACAAAGCAGTTGAGAGGAGTGAAGATCACGTCTCCCAAACGGAAACCAAATAATCTTGGTTTGTTTAAGAAGTCAAGAGCCTAAGGAGGGAAATGATTGGTTTTGTACTGAGGCAATAGGAAAACAAACACTCTCATGTTTAACGAAGAGCTGTTTAAACTAGCACTGGCAGAGGGTAGTTAATAATCTTATGTTGGCTGTAAGTAGTTTATAGCTGTAAGAGCAGGTGGCTTTCGGGAGAGCCTTCTGGAAGCAAAGGGAGAACAAGAAACCCAGCTGATCTGAAGACAAAAAATTAGAGGAAAGGAGTTATTTCTTTGCTGTCCCAGGTGCAAGCGTGGCAAGTAAAAACAGGGAAGAGAGTTTCCATGTCCAAAGATGCTGGGAAAGTTCCCCAGGAACGCTGCTGGACTAATGCTCAGATGTAATTATCCTGAAGCACCCCAGATCATATATGTACTAAGAACACTTACAGCTATCTGGATGTTCAGGATCTGTGAAAATATAACCATATTCTCTGTAAAATTTAGACAGCCACTTTTTCAAAATAAATCTAATCTATTAAGTATTTCCTCAACAAATGTCCTTACAATACAGCTGGTACTTTAAAAGCTAGTATGAAGCTGGTATAAGTGGGTAATTGCTTCAGTTAATGCTTTATTTCCAGAGTTGTGGCTCCACACAGAAGGTAATTTCCAGTGAAGTCATAACAGAGGAAAACACTCTTGGGAAATTTAACAACGAACTTAAGGCTCTCTTAGCACAATATAGCGAATAACAATTAGGAAGATATCATTAACATATGATACATGGCTGTGATTTTGTCCAAACTAATTAGAGCAGTTGTTCTTTTATCAGTATATTAAGATGAACGCTAAATCAAAGATATTAACAGCACATATATATTCTGTAATATGCAATTTAAATATTATTTGATATGGTGATGGCAAGTTTTATTTAAAACCTACCGTGTCACTTCAAGTATTGCAAAAGAAACTGGTGTGTTTCCATCAGCTTCTACATAGATACTGTTAAAAAAAAAATAGAAGGGGTGGACCAATGCTTTTAAGAGAGATAAGGGTCATGTCACACCTTGTTTCCCTCCTCTGGCACTGGAAGGCTGCACTGGAGGGGAAAGCTGGCCCGGGGAAGGGGCACGGGGTGGAGTATTTCATTCCTGCTGGCCAAGAGGGGCGCTTCCATAGGGCCCCTCCATATGGTCTGACATCTAAAGATGCAACAGACACCATAAATCATAGCTAAAGAAAGCAAACACTGGAAAAAACACCAAAGAAGATCTGTGCAGCTTTATCCAGGGACACGTTTTTTTAAATTACCTGCCCTGTGCTACGCTGTGGATCTTTGCGTGTCACACAAGCACCTTGGCCACAGGGACAGGGACACAGAACTGTAAATAATCACAAATGTGTCAGCAGCAGTGTTTCAGCAATTTCCAAGATATCAAAACGTTCCTCGAGGTCCAGGTTAAAAGGTGAAATCTTGACCTTAATAAGATGCTTTTCAAACATTAGGGACCAGCTATGGATGAACCTGTAATAAATCATTAAGGTTCATCCTGTAAGCAAATCCTGCTACGATTCCTGTTACTGTATAGATGACTTCCACATGCAACAGGGTGAGACACACAACAAATTACACATTCAGCTTTTTTTTTTGTTTTTTTTTTTTTTACACCAGCTCAGTCTTGTGGAAGAGCTGGAACTGGCAAGGGAAGGGACCTGGAGCACCATCTGAGCACCAGGGTCTGGTAGATAAAGAGAGAACACAGCGCTTTCTGTTTGCAATGCTGTTTATTTTAGAAAAGCCCCTTTGATCATCTGAATGAAAAATGTGGGCAGAAAAGTCACAAATGTTATAAAACAAAGTTTATTCTGCAATATTTTGTCATAATGAATCGCATCTCTTTGGTAAAAATAAACTTTATAAACATTTTAATTAACAGAGATTAGCATACAAAAAACTAAACTTCTGTAAATCGTTTTTAAAACGGAGAAAGGACTAAACTGGAGGAATAAGGGTTAGAATTGGTCACCTACTGGCAAAATTATTCTAAACAAACCCAAGGACGTTGCTTATGCTACATTAGAAACAAGCTAATGGGAACGGTTTCAAAACAACTCTGGTTCATTTGATCAGAAAGCAATCTTACAATTCACTTTTAAATAAATAATAGTTACAACGAATTGGCAATTATAAAATGTTTTATATCACTATATGGCAGTAACATAATACTTTTAATTATGCACTTTTTAGTTTGAAGAAATGTACATTTATAAAACAGACAATAATGGCACTGGCAGTTAGGTGTGAAGAATGTGCTTTAAGATATAATGGCAGGTGCAACATTTAAATTATTCTACCTTTTCTTTTCAATAAATATTTTGACTACACCATTATTAAAATGTATGAGTGTACTTTGCTTTAACCAAAGCTTGTACTTACTTTTCAGGCTGATGAAGAGTTGTGAACCATACAACTTACGTTTTACAGGCAGATTTGAAAACATTTGATGTGACTTTTGCAAAAGCAGGAATTTAGTATTGGAACCTGAAGGGCCAATACAGGTTCGTACAGAATTCACAGCAGATTAGTCCTGAACAGAGCAGCCTCTCCCGCGTACATGAGTCTCAGACACTTCTTCACTGCATTTAAAGAATTGAACGTGGTTCGTTAATACTTTGCTTGCCAAAATATATCCGAGTCAACCATTGGCATGAACATTTTACATATGTCACTAAAAAAAAAAACCAACCGAACAACCCAAACCCCAACAATCAAAATAACTTTTTAATTATACTCCATTTATACTATATACACCAGGGTCTCTAACTGAGGTGGCAAACAAACCCAAACCCAAACCCAACGGGAGGTATAGAAGCGAAAGGAGAGCGGCTCTTCTCCCACTGCCAAGAGGGGTGCTCCGCGTGGGACAACGTGGTGGCACGGGCCAGGGGGACAGATGGGCCACCTTCTCCTTCGCCAAGGGGAGAGGGAAGATGGCAAAGCATGGAGAGTGTGGCCCCGCTTCCTCCCCCAACCCCACCCTCCACAATTCCAGTTCTCCCAGGCTGAAAGCTGTGAGGCTGGACGCAGCTTTCACCGTTAACTTCTAATTAGTATGGTTTTATTGCTCGTTGCGTATGGTAATTAAATGCATTGTTAGCATCCCGACCCCATCCCTTCGGAAATGCTGAAGTCATTACCACCAACTTCAGGGTTAAGAGCGGCACAGCCACACTCCTACTAAGTATTAACCTTCTTAAACTTTATCTGAGGCAAAAAAAATAATTCCGAATGAAACCAAACCAAACCACCGAGCCACCTGTGACCGCCGTTTCCAGAATACTCCGACCTTAAATCCAGTTGTCCCTGGAAGCTACTGAGAAGCTGCAGCCACCTTCAGTGGGCGCCAGGCAGCACCCCCTCTTCAACAGCACGCAACTGAAACCATGGCACCAGGAAAATTCCCAGAAATACTGTACTAACAATATTTCTGTGAGGCTCAGTCCTCCTCCTTGCATTGACAAGCTCTGCCCTTTGCAGTTTTCCATCCAAGGTACCAAAAGCAACCCACGAGCAAAAACCACAGTTCCACCAAGCATTCGTGTCTCCACATCCCAAAAATCCTAAGAACCACTGCGTCGGTACTTAATTTTCCTTTAAATAGCAAAGTTTTACCCTTAGTATCCCATCAGTAACACATCCGGTATCAGACCTAATTGGCTAATGCACCACTTGTGAGATCCAGAAGACATAGACATCTACAGGCATTGTTGCCCTGTTAGGGGTGTAGGCTAACGGGTGTTCACACAAAGCAGGAATGCAGCAGAATATTTTTCTTTCCCTTTCAAGAAATGAAACAAATCGAAGCTTAACACTGAAATAATTGGAAAAAGAAGAAAAGAACAAAAAAAAAAATAACCCACCACACTTTTTTTTCTTGAAATAATTGGAAAAAGAAGAAAAGAACAACAAAAAAAAACCCCACCACACTTTTTTTTCCCCCTAGTGTTTGTGCCTGAAAACAAACAAACAAACAAAATAACGTTGGCTTTAAATTCCAAAACACAAAGAACCTCAAATATTTCAGGCTTGATCCAACAGCCATTTGAGTCAGCGGGAGCACCACCGTTGTCTTCAAGAGGCACTGGGACAGGCCCTCAGAGCAACAGACCTTCAGCAGCATGGCTGTGTTCGTAATTAAAGTAGACAGTTTATGGCAGTATTCACGAAGAGACTGACAAATAAGCAAAAAAACCCTCCAAAAAAACCCCCAAAACCCCACACTGATCAAAGAAAGGCCTCCAGACAGCCAGAAAAAATACCCTGTTTAGGGAAAGGTTAACTTTTGGCTCAATCCAGCACTGTTTTCACCAACCAAAACAGTGGACATTGGTTTCCAAGGTGGCTCTGCTCCTAATTTTCAAGCAGCCTGCCCGACACCTGCTGGAAGCAATAGCTTAACATCTCAGCGAGAACGTTTGATGGCACATCGTGCTACCTTTCTAAAAGAGGAAAGATGACCTTTGACAGTTGTATACGATTCCGCAACACACTTAAGGCATCCTCATGCTTACAGTACTGTTAAAACCCACTCCAACAGAACTGCTTACCCATTTTTGAACAGAAAACTTAAAAAAAATAAGCCATTATCTAGAAGAAGATGTAAGTAATCACTGATTTTAAAAGAAAAAAAAAATAAAGAAAAAAAAAAAAAGAGGAAAACAGTCACTATACCACTAAGACATTTTTGGCCAAAGGATGTCTGGGAACTATAAAGAGATTCTTTTATTGCAAAAAATGAGTTGTGAAGGATTTTCTTCCCTAAATGGAGAGGTCCTCCTGAGCTCCGGTGTACATCCAAAGGCTAAAGCCTTGCCTTGCCCAGGAGATACCCCGTACGCAGCAGGAGGCTGATGGGACTCACACAGCACAAGGCACAGTGATCTGGGAATAAAAGGTACAGACAGCCCATGGGATGAAAAATAACACCTGTTGGGGGGGAACGGGCAAAAAAACCCAAAGCAATTCAGGGTTCACTGGTCCAAAAGGAAGCTGTTTTATTTTCTCTCAGATGAGGGGGTAAGGCATTCCCTCTTCAGCAGCCGTTCACCACCTAAAGCCTCCACCTCCTTCACGTTGTCACCACTGTCAACCATTGGGTTCTTTTTTCCCCTGAAACCGGTGCAGGGTGGCAGAAGGGGAGATGTTGCAGGACTATGCAGCTACTATATAGTCAACAGTGGTGGTAACATGAGGACAACATCAAATTTGGCAAGTGGCAGCTTTCACTGTTGGCTACATCCAAGGTGCATGGATGCACATGTGCATCTGCATGGAAAGGACACACACCCCCCAAAAAAAAAACCAACCAGACAATTTGTCTTAAGATAAAAAAAAAAAACACAACAGCCCTGTTTTCCTTCAGGAATCTGACCTGCACACAGCAGATTTTGGGGGAAGGAGGGGGGAAAAAAAACCAAAACTGTGGGCAATACCCACCTCAGCTCCCCCTTATCCCTGCTCTTCCAGGGATACTTCGCATCCTGCTGAAGCAGCTCCTGGAGCTACAGGTTTTCAGCCTCTGGGTCAGATGGGCTGAAAACTGCAGCCCCTCGGAGCTGCTTCACCAGCGTTTCCACCAGGACCTGTCCCAGAAGAGCAAAGAGAGGACAGGAGGGAGGAGGCAACTGAGGTCAGGACCCATTTTTTATTCCCCCCCTCTCCCTTTCTTTCTCTTTTCTCCTCCTTTTTAATCCTTTACATGGAAGTCAGAGCCCTTAGACAGGGCAAAATTCACCTCTGCAGATGGGGCCAGCAGAGATGTAAATATTATCCACAATGTGCATCTGAACAAATATATCTCTGGGAAAAAAAAAAATAAAATCAATTATTAAAAAGAAAAAAAAAAGTGATCATTAAGAAGTATGCTTTCAGGTTTCCACAAGTCATGCATCTCTTCTAATTTGAGAAGATTAAATATTTTTTTTTTCTTTTTAGGCAGTGATTTAAAAATAAATGGCTAAATTATAGTTAGCGCCAAAAATAAAAAAGCAATGAGTCCTCTTATGGCTTTGATCTCCCTTGTGAAGGGTAAAAGTAGAAGAGTATTGCCACAATTAAAAAAAATATATGTATATATTCAACACTGACAAACATACTATTTTTTCCTTTGCTTGTGACAGTGGGTCTTTGCAGTACTTATTAAGGAACTCAAGCACGTTTGGATGCCAGCAAGGTGGAGCAGGGACCCCGCCGCTTCCTTCAGCTCCTCGTCGATTTCTTGACATAACTCCTTGAATGCTTTGTTGCTAGGCTGACTTTCCTCAGAGGTATCTACACAAGGTTGTGATGCATAGCCACTGTCTCCAAGAGGATCATCTTCAGAGTCAACGTCTGTATCCACCTCGCTGTGAAACCCTTCGCTGCCGTCGCTTCCCTCGTGGCTGGTCTTGGAGATGAATTCGTACACCTCGTCAAGGGAGGACAAGGAAGACACGCTGGACCTAGACGCACAGCGCTGGGTGCCCATGCTGCTGGCACTGTAGTTGTGATCCTCCTTGGGATCGATATTGGTGGCTGCAGAATCATTTTCCTGCAGATTTATGGAACTGGGAGGGTTGAACGCGCTGCCGTAACTCCTCTTCTTAGGTGTCTTCAGAGGCTGAGGTTTCTCGCCTGTTAAAAAAAGGTCGGCAGTGAGCAAATACTCCAATGAGATCACCTGCAAAAAGAGCACCCTACAGGCTGTCTGGCTGCAAAGTGAGCTGAACACGAGCATTTAAGGGTTATAATATCTTGTGCACGTTCACTGTCATCCACAGAGCACAACGGCCTTCAGCTAATCACAACTAAGAGCTGGAGAAACAGAGGAGGAGCTAAGAAACTCTTCTCACCATCTAGCACAGAGGGCAGGAGAAGAATGTTGCAGAAAAAAAAAAAAAAAAACAAACAAAAAACAAATTAACTGGGAAAAAAGAAAAATAAGGTGCTGTTCTCAAACTGTGTAACGCTAGCACAGAAGGAATAATCAAGGAATAATCAAACCAGAACTCCTTTTGACCGCTCTTACTACTTGGGAACTAGACCATACTCGTTTCCTGAAACTTTATAAAGGAAAGATTTAGCTACTGGGTAGACAAGAAAACAGAGTAAAATGGCTTATGCTTACAGTCCAACATCCCTTGTTGAATGGAAGTATTTAACAGCATCATTGCGGTAGCAGCATCTATATCGGATTCTGTGAAGGAAAACAGGAAAACATTAGATCTCGGGGACGCCTGACAAAATGAGGTCCCTGGAACGTGCAAAGAACGTCTATCTGCATATACTGGCCTAAAATAAAGGGCAGGTGAAGGGGGAAAATGTACAAATTTAGAGCACAACTATTATACAGCACTTATACAAAACATTCTTGTATCTTAACTATGACATTCAAAAGCTGAATTCTCCCATTCCATTTACCAAAGCTGACCCCCAGAATCAGTGACATTAATTAGACATTCACACGACGATGCTGTCACCGTACTTATCAACAAGTGGCTTTTGTTTGTACCGGTTGAGGGAGAAAATATTGTGCATACAGCACAGCAGAGCATCTCAGCAGCTTCATACCCCGGTGACGCGCATACGCAGGGCTGAGGAACCAACGTGCCCATTAACGCAGCGCTAATTGAGAGCACCTCTCTCCTCCAGCAGTAATTTCCACACCAACAAGTCAAACAGAAGGAACGGAGAAGACGAGGGGAGAAAGGGCACTGAACCGAAAGCAGGAGGATCTAAATTATAAATAGGCACTTCTTTTAAAAGGTTTTTAGGCGAGGTGCGGCGCTTTTAGCGATGGCAACAAGCGCTGCTGTAAAACTCCACCCTTTGCTGCCCAGAGTGGATTGCTTACAACTCAAAAAAGGACACACCTTGAGGATATTATGGCAAAGAGTGACAATTCAAACCAAAGTCAGATGAAAAGGAAGAGAAACAAGCACACATTTCAACACTCACTTCAGAACATGCTCGCGCACTTTAAAAAAGAGGAAATCCAAGGTCTTGCCTTGCTCACTTCAGCTATGGATGTTGGAGAGACAGGCTATATGTTCCTCTCCTTATACAGGACAGAAATGTCTAAGACAACATGGGGGATCACAGAATGCTATGGGGTTGGAAGGGACCTCTGGAGACCATCTAGTCCAACCCCCTGCCAGAGCAGGTCCCCCCAGAGCAGGTTGCACAGGAACGTTTCCAGGTGGGTTTTGAATGGCTCAGAGAAGGAGACTCCATCACCTCCCTGGGCAGCCTCTTCCAGGGCTCTGCTACCCTCAACGGAAAGACGTTCCTCCTCGTGTTTAGATGGAACTTCCTGTGTTTAAGTTTGTGCCCGTTTCTTCTTGTCCTGTCACTGGGCACCACTGAGAAAAGACTGGCCCCATCCTCTTGACACCCGCCCTTTAAAATATTTATAAGCATTCAGCAGATATCCCCCTCAGTCTTCTCCAGACTAAAAACACCCAAGTCCCTCAACCTTTCCTCATCAGAGATTTGCTCCAGGCCCCTAATCATCTTTGTAGCCCTCTGCTGTACTCTCTCCAGCAGTTCCCTGTCCTTCTGGAACTGGACACAGTAGTCCAGATGGGGCCTCACCAGGACAGAAGTAAAGGGGGAGGATGACCTCTCTCGACCTGCTGGTCACACTCGTCTTGATGCACCCCAGGATCCCATTGGCCTTCTTGCCACAAGGGCACATTGCTGCCTCTGGGACTAACCAGGCAAAAGAGGAGCAAAGAGACAAGGTGAGCTCTCAGAAGAACCTTGCTGTCTCAGAGGAAAGGACCACATCCCAGGTGTACATATATATATATATGTATGTATGTACATGTGAGTGGAGATGCAGCATTGGAAGACAACGCATGTAAGGTACCAGCAGCGAGCAGAACGAGCTCCCAGACCTGCTGAACTGGAGCTGGGGTGGGAATTGCTGGAGTGAAACATCAGCAATGTCATTTTTTGGTGGCATTTCTTCACCCACCCACCCATCACATGCATGAATTATGTTACTGAATCTGAGAGGAGAGTTAGTATTGGGAGGGGGACTGCAGAATTCTCACTTTGGTTTCTTATTGAATATAGTTGTCTCCAATATCATCCCTGGTCAAGGATGTGAAGATGTCATCACTTTGGGAATGTTGTACCAACACAGAAAGAGGACTGAGCTGGTGTTTCCATCACAAGTTATAAAACATACACATTCCCCCTTGTTTGCACTGTCTATCATTTTAAAACCAGCATACTTTAAGGTCTACCCCACTGCACTTATGAGATTATTTATTTTAATTCTGCTTCGTCTTCCTTGGCAACAATACAGCCCCAGAATTTACAAGTCGTATGTATCCGACTGACAATAAGAAATAAAAAAAAAAAAAAAGCATGAATTTCCTTTCCTCTGCTACCATAATCAAAAATGAAATATTCCCATTCCTTACACGCTATCACAGGCATTTTATTTTAACATCTGATGTTGGTCTATAAGCACCACCTTGTTAAAACGACAAGCAACTGGAGGCACTAATGCAACACAGAATTACTACCTGCACATTAGTATCCTCAAAGAAATAGGAGAGACACTTCTGCAGCGACTTCTTAGCAGTGCTCTGCATCTCTGTTAATGTGCTCTGCCTTCATTTGTGATTGCTCTCCTTGACAGAGCAGTAATTCCCAAATTTATGCTTCCCCAGCCGAGTGGCTGAAGAAACACATTATTACAAGATATTCTTTCATCTGCACAACAGCTGTCCTCTGCGACCCTGGGAACATTAATGTTTCTCCTGTAATGCCAGGAGATGCTGAAGAGGTTCACCAAGATGCAGAAATTAAATGAGAGCAGATACACGTCTTTATTTCGTGTAGCAAATCGGAATAGTTCGCATCAGACTGGCAATCTCCAAACCCATCACAGAACACACCAGCAAAATCATCAAGAGGAAGGAGATTTCTTGTATTCTCTAAGAAGCCCCAAGAATCCCAGGTCTAGCAGCCTGGCAACCAAGGATGCTTCCTTGCCACCTGGGGACCACCATGAAACCTCCACCTGGCCGCGTGGTAATTATCATCCGTGGACCAGGCAGCTGTCTTTAAAATAACCCTTGGCTTTGCTACCTAACTGATGTTTCTGGTTTGTGGTGGAAAACTAAAAATCAACCTTCTCACCTCAAAGCCCATCGCGCTAGCAAAGCCGGAGAGCTGGATGTCTGCTCCACTGCTCAACTCCTACTTTGTTGGCCTTTTATCATCCTTTTGAAAGACCTTTAGCAATACTCCTCTACAACAAATTAACACATGCTCGCTTTTTCTTGGAATCAGCCCTTTAAAAAAAAATGAGCATGATTCACTTTCCAGCACCTTTTTTTTTAAAAAAAAAAAAAAGATTATTTTTGATGAGGATAAGCCTGCAGTGGGTTAAGCTTTGCTACTGAGGTCCAAGACCTGTGCTCAACAGGCTTCTTCAAAAGAACTGCTGTGATATCCCAGCATGCTGTGTATAGCTCCCTTCTGGTACCGAGGCCCACGAAAATTATTTAAATGAAGTACATTTTTTTAAAGTACATATGAGAAAACAAAATAACCATCTTCTGTTCAACAGCTGTTGCTACTTCAATTGGCATTTGACTGACAATAAAAAACAGATTTCCATCTTTTTTTCTTTTTTTTTTTTAACCTGAACATGGCTGGCTGGTTTTCCTCATGGAAAGCAAAAGTCCAAATCCATAGGAGAGAACTATGGCCAAGTCCTTGTTAATCTAACACTCATTCAAACCTCTAAGAGTAGGTATATCCTGGTGGGATAAGGAAAGGGACACCAGAAAGACAGCAATGCTGCATTTCAGCAGGAATTCCCTGAAAACAAACAACAAAACCCCCCCAAAACCTGCATTCTTTCTCAGTAGGGAACCATTTTGGGTTTGTTGGTGCTACAAAAGCACAGGCGTAGCTATATCAACCTCCCCTGCGTGACTTGGACTGATATAATCTTTCTCCACCAAGTTTTGGTGACTCTGGTCAAAATAACAGTTACAGAATCATAGAGTTGCCTGGGTTGGAAGGGACCTTTCAGATCATTGAGTCCAACCATCAACCTACCACTGACAAAAAACATCACTAAACTGTATCTCTAAGCGCTCTATCTGCCCATCTTTTGAATACCACCAGGGATGGTGACTCCACCACTTCCCTGGGCAGCCTGTTCCAACGCTTAATAACCCTTTCAGTGTAAAAATTTTCCCTAATATCTGACCTAAGCCTCCCCTGGTGCAACTTGAGGCCATTCCTATTGTCCTGTTGCCTGTTAATTGGGAGAGGAGACCAACCCCCACCTCCCTACAACCCTAGATCCTTCAGCTGCTCCTCATAAGGCTTGTTCTCCATAAAAGCTTTTGTTTGTGGACGTGACTTGTTTTCTCCTGCACCTACTTCATGACCAGTGCAGGAAACACAGAGGGATGTAAACTTGCTTGAGAAGCAGCACTGCGGCCTACAATACCAAGGTCTGTATTTAGAGCCCATATATTAAACCCATCCTACTTCCCTCTCCCAAGAGTTAAAATGAACCTTTTGCAATTTTTAAGATGATACCTTAAACTAAACAGACATCAGGAGGCTACTGGTTAAGTGGGTTAATGTCCAGAACTTAGGCTTCCTCCATAACTACACTGGCAATAACACCAGCTTGTGCCCAGCTTCTTGGCAACATCCCTAAGTTTTATACATTAAAATTTGCTGCCTTTTGTTCTCAGTTCTTGGTAACCACTAAGACTGGTGTAGAGATATGTAGCTTTCAGACTGGTTTTCTACTGGGCTATTCATTAAGTAGGTTGTATTTGAGAGCGATGCGTCTGCTAAATACCTTGCTGGCAGAACGAGATGTCCCCTATTACACCTTGAAATTAATCTTATGGATTTAAACTGAATACACAAGTGGCTAAAATAACGAGCATGCTTTCTACTACATCATTTTTTTCCATCCTCTAGCAGACCCTTCAGAGCAGGTCCATACACAACATCAGCTGGGGGTTCAGTACATGCTCGTTACTCAACCCAGAGGAGCAGAGTGAAAGAAAATTAAACATTTACCTTTGAGAGACCGGCCATGGCTCTGCTGAAGGACCGAAGTCAGGTAGTGAGGGGATGCAGACCTACTGAAAAGAAATTCAACAAGTCAAAGCCAAGCCCTGATTAGGTTTTGTACAAAGTATAGTAGGCACAAAACTATGATCAGAGAAGGGTACAAACAAAACCGACCCAAACACCAAGGCTCGGTGGACAATTTCTATTGCTCTCAGTAGATGGCTTGACACCTTGGTTGATGGGTTAATAAGCCATCATCAGCATTTGGAGAACACCTCAAAACACACAGTCTAAGCAAAAGTCTTGTTGGCAGGAGATGCTACCTTCCACAGATTTTACATACCCGCCTAAAGGCTAGATTTTAAATAAAGATATGTAGGCTTTTAGTAAGTAAAACCTACATGTGAACAAAACATTAGGTTACACAGGGATGCTTAGAGCCTGGGAGCAACAGAAGAGGTAAGGACCAGTTGTGTCTGTGGCTCTTCAAAACAGTGGTGGGAGATGAACGAAAACAAAAGGTAGTGTCCTGCAAAAATCTAGGGAAGAACAACAACAACAAAAAAACCCCAAGCCAAAATATTTGCTGATTTTAAAGTTATCTGAAGCCGAGCTGTTTTGGTGATGCTGTCTGCTTTTTTTGGCATGGATCAGACCAGCTTTGCACCTGGCAAAGTGCTGCTTAACACCCACAGGGCAAGTTAAAGCTTTCGAATGGTTTTCTGCTACACACCCAGTCCTAATTAATCAGTTCATTATAAAGGTACTAGCAAATAGTTAGAAATAAACACAGCAGAAATAGTACACAGCTATTAAAATTGCATGAATCACAGCAATATGCACCTTCTGTAGTATCACTAGAAGAATTCAGAGGGTGATAAGCAGAATTTTCAAGCACAACCTGTAACAACAACCTTATGGGCTTAGTGGGGTGATTTCTATTGTTAAAAAACAACAAAACCCCCCCAAAACCTGCATTCTTTCTCAGTAGGGAACCATTTTGGGTTTGTTGGTGCTACAAAAGCACAGGCGTAGCTATATCAACCTCCCCTGCGTGACTTGGACTGATATAATCTTTCTCCACCAAGTTTTGGTGACTCTGGTCAAAATAACAGTTACAGAATCATAGAGTTGCCTGGGTTGGAAGGGACCTTTCAGATCATTGAGTCCAACCATCAACCTACCACTGACAAAAAACATCACTAAACTGTATCTCTAAGCGCTCTATCTGCCCATCTTTTGAATACCACCAGGGATGGTGACTCCACCACTTCCCTGGGCAGCCTGTTCCAACGCTTAATAACCCTTTCAGTGTAAAAATTTTCCCTAATATCTGACCTAAGCCTCCCCTGGTGCAACTTGAGGCCATTCCTATTGTCCTGTTGCCTGTTAATTGGGAGAGGAGACCAACCCCCACCTCCCTACAACCCTAGATCCTTCAGCTGCTCCTCATAAGGCTTGTTCTCCATAAAAGCTTTTGTTTGTGGACGTGACTTGTTTTCTCCTGCACCTACTTCATGACCAGTGCAGGAAACACAGAGGGATGTAAACTTGCTTGAGAAGCAGCACTGCGGCCTACAATACCAAGGTCTGTATTTAGAGCCCATATATTAAACCCATCCTACTTCCCTCTCCCAAGAGTTAAAATGAACCTTTTGCAATTTTTAAGATGATACCTTAAACTAAACAGACATCAGGAGGCTACTGGTTAAGTGGGTTAATGTCCAGAACTTAGGCTTCCTCCATAACTACACTGGCAATAACACCAGCTTGTGCCCAGCTTCTTGGCAACATCCCTAAGTTTTATACATTAAAATTTGCTGCCTTTTGTTCTCAGTTCTTGGTAACCACTAAGACTGGTGTAGAGATATGTAGCTTTCAGACTGGTTTTCTACTGGGCTATTCATTAAGTAGGTTGTATTTGAGAGCGATGCGTCTGCTAAATACCTTGCTGGCAGAACGAGATGTCCCCTATTACACCTTGAAATTAATCTTATGGATTTAAACTGAATACACAAGTGGCTAAAATAACGAGCATGCTTTCTACTACATCATTTTTTTCCATCCTCTAGCAGACCCTTCAGAGCAGGTCCATACACAACATCAGCTGGGGGTTCAGTACATGCTCGTTACTCAACCCAGAGGAGCAGAGTGAAAGAAAATTAAACATTTACCTTTGAGAGACCGGCCATGGCTCTGCTGAAGGACCGAAGTCAGGTAGTGAGGGGATGCAGACCTACTGAAAAGAAATTCAACAAGTCAAAGCCAAGCCCTGATTAGGTTTTGTACAAAGTATAGTAGGCACAAAACTATGATCAGAGAAGGGTACAAACAAAACCGACCCAAACACCAAGGCTCGGTGGACAATTTCTATTGCTCTCAGTAGATGGCTTGACACCTTGGTTGATGGGTTAATAAGCCATCATCAGCATTTGGAGAACACCTCAAAACACACAGTCTAAGCAAAAGTCTTGTTGGCAGGAGATGCTACCTTCCACAGATTTTACATACCCGCCTAAAGGCTAGATTTTAAATAAAGATATGTAGGCTTTTAGTAAGTAAAACCTACATGTGAACAAAACATTAGGTTACACAGGGATGCTTAGAGCCTGGGAGCAACAGAAGAGGTAAGGACCAGTTGTGTCTGTGGCTCTTCAAAACAGTGGTGGGAGATGAACGAAAACAAAAGGTAGTGTCCTGCAAAAATCTAGGGAAGAACAACAACAACAAAAAACCCCCAAGCCAAAATATTTGCTGATTTTAAAGTTATCTGAAGCCGAGCTGTTTTGGTGATGCTGTCTGCTTTTTTTGGCATGGATCAGACCAGCTTTGCACCTGGCAAAGTGCTGCTTAACACCCACAGGGCAAGTTAAAGCTTTCGAATGGTTTTCTGCTACACACCCAGTCCTAATTAATCAGTTCATTATAAAGGTACTAGCAAACAGTTAGAAATAAACACAGCAGAAATAGTACACAGCTATTAAAATTGCATGAATCACAGCAATATGCACCTTCTGTAGTATCACTAGAAGAATTCAGAGGGTGATAAGCAGAATTTTCAAGCACAACCTGTAACAACAACCTTATGGGCTTAGTGGGGTGATTTCTATTGTTAAAGTGTGTTTAACTTTTATATTTATCATATTTAGGCAGCTCTGATTTCTAGAATAAGGCACAGACACAAATCCCCCCCCCAGATCATGAAGTTGCTAAGTGCTTAACATTTATTTTTTTTTAATTACTTGTTGTCATGGTTTAACCCCAGCCAGCAACTAGAACCACACAGCCACTTGATCACATTTCTCCCCCATCCCAGGAAGGAGGGGGGAGAAAGAAGGGGGATAAAGGGAGGAAAAAAACCTTGTGGGTTGAGATAAAGACAATTTAATAGAAACAATAACAGAAAAGGAAAAATAACAATAATAATAATAACGACAGGGATCACTCTCACTGCCCAGTTTCAAGCACAACCTGTAACAACAACCTTATGGGGTTAGTGGGGTGATTTCTATTGTTAAAGTGTGTTTAACTTTTATATTTATCATATTCAGGCAGCTCTGATTTCCAGAATAAGGCACAGACACAAATCCACCCCCCCCAAATCACGAAGTTGCTAAGTGCTTAACGTTTATTTTTTTTTTAATTACTTGTTGTCATGGTTTAACCCCAGCCAGGAACTAGAACCACACAGCCACTTGATCACATTTCTCCCCCACCCCAGGAAGGAGGGGGGAAAAAGAAGGGGGATAAAGGGAGGAAAAAAAACTTGTGGGTTGAGATAAAGACAATTTAATAGAAACAATAATAGAAAAGGAAAAATACCAGAAATAATAATAATGACAGGGATCACTCTCACTGCCCAGAGAATTAGCACTGTCCTGAGCAGTGATTCTGAATTCATGCCCCCCCACAACTAACCTGTGGGTTGAGATAAAGACAATTTAATAGAAACAATAATAGAAAAGGAAAAATACCAGAAATAATAATAATGACAGGGATCACTCTCACTGCCCAGAGAATTAGCACTGTCCTGAGCAGTGATTCTGAATTCATGCCCCCCCACAACTAACCCCCCAATTATCTACTGAGCATGATGTCTGTGGCACGGAATATTCCATTGGCCATTCCGTCCTTCTGTCTATGCTTCTATGGGAAGCTGAAAAAAGTCCTTGAATATTGTAAACATCACTTAGCAACAACTAAAAACAATAGGTATTATTGACATTCCTTTCACAGCAATCACTAGAAAGAAAATTAACTCTTTCCCAGCTGAAACCTTGTCTAGATCATTGATTAAAACCCAAACAATTACTTTAGTTTTTTATAGCTTTTTTTAAAACTAGAGTCTTCATTCTTTAAGGTGAATTTTGAAGAAAATATTTTTCACATCTCAACCACTCTGAGATCAGCTACTTTGCACAGCTGTTAATGAGGGATGCCCATTTAATACTCTTGCTGCTCCAACTTGGGATCGTATTATCCAAACTCAAAAACTCAAGTTCACTGACCAGTATGTTTTCTTGCGGGGGTGATGGAATGAAAAGGGAACCTATCCCAAAATGGGGAAAAAAATTAAAAAAAATAATAAAAAAAGTCACAAGGAAAGAAATGGACCCATTCCAACATGGAGCCTGCAGGTAAGAGATGCTAAACCTCTTCATCCTTTCGTCTGAGCTCAGATCCTTCAGGAATCATATCCACATACAGCTTTCCTACGGCAAATTAATGCTTAGTATTGATTAAGGCAAGCTATGCATATGCATAAAGTATTTGCAAGATGAGGACCACAGCAGTCCCTAGAGCCCAGGGATATAATACATGTAGTACTAGAAACAGAACGTAGCCAGGGGCCTCGCACCGACTTGTTGAACAAGCTGTGCGGGAATAAAATGCCAATCATCTATGATAATACACGTTTCAGTGTAACTAGACACAGATTACAGCTTTGGAAAGCTTCTGCTCAAAGTAACACCTTAAATTTTATTTTAAAATGCTGCTGAGTGATAGGTGTATTCCCCACGAACACACTGTAAAATGATTATGAACACAAGCCCTCCCACAGAAAAAGATTCAGGAACTTGCAGTCAAATTCAAGCATCACCCTGTTGTTAAACTTGGATGGTCCTTCCAGCCTCTCTCCAGCTGCACCTCTGGGCTTGCTCTTTCTCTCTACACACAAGGCAGCCCCCTGGGAGGTCCTTCCCCCAAACAGAATTTAAATCTAATCCAAGAATTTTTCAACGTGGAAGGGAAAATAATAAATCTATTTTCCTGCATATGACTGAAAGTCACACAATATTTTTTTTTAATTAAAGGAAAATAAACCAGCTTTCATTAGGGAGAAGCCGAGTACCTTGAAATGTTTTTATTTTGTTGCCCTTATAAATACAAGCACTGCAAAATCCTTCACGTATTGAAGTCAGTGGGAATTTTGCCATGTGGCTTCATTAGGACCAGGATTTCCTTGTAATTGTGATTGTTGGCAAGTGTGACTAAGCCTTCACTAAAGGGAAAAAAAAAACAACTTACTGAAAACAACAGCTTCAAATCAAAGTCCTGATCTTGCAAGTACTTCAGTGTTCAGATAAAAATCTCTCCTTCCCTACACCTGATTTCAGTACGTTGTATTTATACAAGCGAGATACTTCAATGCTTGTATCGTTGGAATCATCTTGAAGACCTTGGAAATATTAAAAGTTTTAACTGGTCAAAGCTCTGGACAACCTGCCCTCAGCTGAGTCTGTCTTGATCCTCTGCTCCTCTGGCTGGACAGACAGCATCCAGAAGTCCCCTCCAACCCGTATTATTCAGCGATTCTCAATTTTAAATGTTTGGCAGTGTTAACAAAGCTTTCGAGGACCAAACCTTCGCTCGAGTTGTACCAAAAAACAGAAGTGCATGCCACTGTGTAGAAACAGTAATGCCTGTAAAAACATGATCATCTAGAGCCCAATTACAGTAGTTTCAACATCTTTGTTCCTATAAAACAAAGCCTGACAATAGCACCAGCCATCTTGTACTTTCCAGTTTGACTTCAGGGTTATTTTAGTAACGCAGAAAGCTGGAAAGAGGGACATTTCTGCCTGGCTCATTCAAAGCCAAGATGATCCACTATGGATCTACAGACGGAAGGTCAGAGACCATATCTGCATCTCATAGACTACAAGCCCACCTGGAAGAGCCCACACCAGGCATTCAGCTGTGGCCAGACAGCTAAGGCTTCCATGGAGGTGCCAGCTCTCAGGGTCAATGCCTGTTGGACCCTCAGAAATGTCTGCTCAATGTTTACCAGCTTTACATCCTGCTCCAGTAATCCCAGTTCCTCCTGTTTGTGAGGGAAACTCCTCACTGATAAGGTCAAGGCACAGGGCAATGCGCAGAGGCCTTAATTATCTCTTATCTCACCCAAATTCTTTGCTGAACTAGATAAACCTGCCATGTGCCTACCTGACAACTGAGCTCACCAACAACAGCAATGTGTTCCTCTCTGCTTTCTGCCCTTCCTCCTCCCCTCTGCCCTCTCTCTATAGCCTGACCCAGCTGCTCTTCCTCTTCCTCAGCCGAGAACACATGATGTTGACTTCAAATTCTCCAAAATCTGTTGCCCAATCTTAAAAAAAAAAATGTGTCAGATGAGGAAGCCCTCGTTTCAGAAGTCTTGCATGCTCCACCTCAAGAGTATGTTTCTGGTAAAGGCTGTTCTTCCCATCCTGGCTGTAAAATGCTTTTAATGGCTTTGGAGGAAAACACCCCTCTTAGTCCAGCCTCTCTAAGCACTTCAGATAATAAAAGCGTTGATTGTTTTTGGAACTGTGCTTGAAGGAGGATTTTGCTCCAGTTCCTGGGAATGCCTGACCTCCAGAGAAATGTGGCTCACCAGTAAGCATCCAGCAGAGCTCCCACCTCTTTTCAAACTCTCCCACAGTTATGAAGACACCTGGGACTTTTTATCTGGGAAGCTCATAACAGCTCCTCGTCTCGCCAGTCTCATCTAAGTCCCACTCAAATTCATAGAATCATGGAATCATAGAATGGTTTGGGTTGGAAGGGACTTTAAAGACCACCCAGTTCCAACCCCCCTGCCATGGGCAGGGACACCTCCCACCAGACCAGGTTGCTCAAAGCCCCATCCAGCCTGGTCTTGGACACCTCCAGGGATGGGGCATCCACAACTTCTCTGAGCAACCTGATTCTTCTCTCAGGTGGCAGCTGGTAACAACCCATCAACATCCACATGGGCACCTCCTCTGCTGGGTGGAGTAACATAACTGTGCACCACACCGGGATGAGAAAATTCACCTACCTTGGTGGTGACGCCGGCGGAGTATAGAAGGCGAGCGCTGAGGGAAACGGCTGCTTTTTCAGTGCTTGGACAAGGTTAGGTTTATATTCTGGGTCAACACACCACAATGAACCTTTTCCATTGACCTGCAAGAAAGAAGTACTGCGAATTAGAAGCGTCCAGGAGCCAGGCTGTCACAGAGATTTCTAATTTAATATTCCTGAGATGCAGCACAGTGCAATGACGTAGGCACCTGCCGCTGGATGGCTGATGTACGTGGTCCTCAGGCAGCTCCTCAGGTCACCCGCATGGATGCTCCCAAACCAAGCACAGGGTCCCAAGACCCTCGATATACAGTAAAGAAGCACCTGTCTTGCAGCTTGGGATAGCATCTCCAAAGCCCCTCCTCTAAAGCCCTGGAAGTCCATTGGAAGGCTGTAAACCTTATTTAGACACTTGTTAAATAAATACAGCTGTAAATGTAAGTGTCTGTCCAGGTGAATTGATCAGCAGTCTTTTGATTAACAGGTTTCCAAGTAAGAAACCAAAGTTCCTTTCCCTTTGCTTAGATACAGCCACGTACTCATTTAACTTTATACCACCCTGTCAGAGCAACTTGCTGGATGCCCAGCTACACAATGGATTATTCCTACTTTTCCCAAAATCTGAAAGCCTAATTTATGTATTTTTGATGTGCCTAACAACGTAAGCACCACTGTGCTAGTCATTCTTGGTAGTAAATTTGATATGCCAAAAGTTAAGCAATATAGATCCCATGGCAGGCAGGTTGGAACTTGATGGTCTTCAAGGTCCCTTCCAACCTGAACTGTTCTATGATTCTATGATAAAGCACCTCCTGCTCTTCTCAATGGCTTCTTCACATCTTTACTATATAAAGAAAAAAAAAAATATTTTTTGAACCTGCTAGTTCTTTCAACATAAATAAGAAAATGAGTTGTTCTAAATTATCTGTCCTAAAATCAGACACTGAGCAAAAGAGAGGTCTCCTCACACCTCTTCTCCTCAGTGGTATCGATTAATAAAAACATTCACAAGCTCACAGTTGTAAAAGCAAGTCCAGCAAAGAGCACGGAGACTCTTCAGGGCTTCCAGCTCCAACCTGTTTTTCACTTCAGGTCCTCCTGTGCTGGGCATCAGACACTGCTCCCTCAGAAAAAGCAACCTCCCTCTGTAGACCTCTGTCCCCCCGACCCCCAGGCTACATGAGAGGGCTAAAGATGCAAAGAGCATTACCCATGTCTTCTGAGAATCACTGGCCCACAATCACACCTCCACATCTCCAGGGGCACCAGGGCCACAGCAGGTACACTGGAAGGCCCAGGGACTGGCTCCAGCATCATCCCCTTGCTGTTCAGCAGCTCCAACCTCCATTTCCAGAGAATCACTGACATCTCATCTGTCTGGATGACACAAGCTCAACTGTAGCTCTAATGAGATAGGGTATTTCAGCTCCTAAGTCTATCACCTGGGGAAAACCTTGACAAACCACTTTGATAGATCCAGCAGCATCACCGTAGGTGCATACAGAAAGGCTAATGTATGTTTTAGCAGAAATTTGCCATATATACATGAAAATACGTGCAAAGCAAACCACCATCCATGGCTACACCTGCAGTGTGACGTTGTGCAGCTCAGTGGAAACAGCTCTGCAAAGTGACAGACTTGGTCCTGGGGGATCACCTGCACGTGCTTTGGAGGTTGTTTTTTTTTTTTACTCCAGATCTGCGACAGCAGGGTCTTGTGGACAACGTCTGGGAGCAGTCAGGGCACTCCTGCAGCACCTCCCCTCCTCCAGGTTAGCGCCAACCAAAATGAATCCAGTTCACGGGCCCCAAAACTGCCCTGCAGTGGCAGCTCATGTGGGTAAGGGAGGGGGGGGGGCGGAAATCAGGAGATTCACTTCGAAACATGAAGTCCAAACCAAAATATTAGCGTTATGGCAAACATGAGGAAGGACTCTTCATACTTTTGCTGCCAGACCTCCAAGAAATGATTTAGTAGCTGACAGCAATAGGCAGGGAGGTGCCAGAAAGCAGCCTGTCCCACCATGGGGGTAGGAGGGCATAGACACCCCCTGTCACACCACACATTTCCAGTCTTCCAATATGAGAGCCCAGATTCACCTGAAAGGTTTTAAAGCCCTTCTTACCCTGACGTTACAAAATAAAACATGCTCCTCTGGTGCAGCGTGCCACAGGCACCTCTGCTTCCACAGGCACTCGGGACAGAAAAAACCCGACTACATGCTCCCTTTGAGACACAATTAAGATGCCATTAACAAAGGAAAAAAAAAGGAAGAAAACACAAAATTATCTTGCTGTCTCAGAGAAGCACCCAGAGGCATTGCTGGCACATGGTTACAGGCAATTATGACCAGCAAGACAAGCTTGCAAGCTATGGCCACTCACTGCAACAAGTGACACCCGAGGAGCTCATCCAAAGGGGTCTGCAGGATTCCTGACATCCCCCGTGGCGTCTGCGTGTGCCACAGGCTTATTTTGTAGAAAGAATTTGGAGCAGTACCCTCATCTAATCCTTTTCTAAGCAGGGTAGAGGGTAAAGATTGAACTACTGTGTGCTGGAAATGGGGAAGCTCTGGCAAAGCTTCAGGAGGGACTTTTTTGGGGTGGTTTTTGTTTTGGTTTTTTTTGACAAATGCAGTTTCTGTTTCTTAGGAATTAGAAAGCTGTGCAGTCTCTAGAGCCTTGGGAAAATGCTGACAGTGCACATCAGTATCACCTTACTGGTAGTGGTGACATCTAGTCTACATTGTGTTTTTCCTACTAGAAGTGTCTCACCCAGCAGCAAGCCATGCTTTGGCTTTCCTTCAGCCACTCTGAGCCCAGCAATCATAGAATGGTCAGAGTTGGAAGGGACCTCAAAGATCATGGAGTTCCAACCCCCTGCTATGGGCAGGGACACCTCCCAGTAGACCAGGTGGAGTTGGCAGGGTAAGTAGAGGACCGGCCAGTCCTGCTGCCCACGTGCCAAGACACAAGGTTTGACTGGTAACTCCTAGACAATGAGGGTTTCCAGGCTGGAAATGGCTGGTCTTTGGCAGATCCACATACAGCAGGAACTTGGTACACGGATTTAGGAGATTTCCCTGCCCCAATTTTTCTGAAACTCTTGTGTCTGTTCCCAGATAGAGCCACGCAGTCCTTTAAGAACACCTTCGCCATCTGTGACAGCATGTGGTCACAGCTCAGGTCCACGTCTGTCATGTAGGCACACCTTCCAGTATCTCAGTTACTCCATTACAGCACCTGGAGCCACATTAAAAGCCCATCTAACACTCATCAGGACTTGGCTATGGGGGAGTTGGACTGGACTCACCATGCAGCAGCAAAAAATACTTTTTTTTTTTTTTCAGGGCAAAGTTGCTGCTTGGAAAAACAACAACCTAACAATTTAATGTAAAAGTAGGGATGTTGAGAAGTGGTGATGTTCAGTCCTACCAGTACAAGGCCATCCTTCCTGATGCCCACTCAGCTCCAGGACCTCTATCTACAGCGAGAAGCTGTTGAGCACGCCAGGCATTGCATGCATTTCTGATAACAAACCTCTTACCACACGGGCTGACCTCCAAGCACACGGGTCCAGAATTTGTTTGTTGACTTTTGCTATGTGGTTGGTTGGTTTATTTAAGCCGGAGCCAAGTCTTTGAGGAACGGGGTGGGAAATGAGAGCGGGGAGGAAGGAAGTCACCAGTAAAATGGTACAAGTCAGAAGAAGGATTTGTACAGGAAAGAGCACCCTTGGCTTGTGTCCGCACCAGGCGGAGACACACGGTGTTATGACACAGGTTAAAGCAAGTATATTAACATTTATTACGTATATAACAGTATATTAAATGCAGGAATTTAATGGGCAAGCTAGAGATCAGAAGGGAAAGAGTCAGTTTAATATTAAAGACAGCTGTTAGACTGAGAAACAGCCACCTACACGCAGTCGGCCTGCAAGCAAAGGGCACCCTGCAGAAGACCACATCTCCACCCAAAACGGGCAAACACCCATGCTAGTGTATGTCCCCCATCTCTTCTGCTTCCCAGTCGCAGCCATGGCCATGCTGGAAAAGCAGGGAAGGAGAGAACACACCTCAAAACTTCAGCATTGGAAAAGAGAGAGAGCACTGGGTTTAAGAAGCTCCAGCAAAAAGACATCCTAAGACCGATGTTCAGAATATCAGGCTGGGTACTGCAGGCTACCAAAACTATAAGTGAGTAGAAACAGGGTCCTTTGCCTGTTAGCTGGCTTTAAAAAGGATGCACCACAGTTAGCTCTACCCAGGTCAGCACCAAAATAACAAACTCAAGTGACTTCTGTCCTCCTGTGATTTGTCAAAAGTGGCACTTCCAAACCATCTACAGCTGCAAATAAAGTGCTAGAGGACGTGGAGGGGAAAAACCACCCCAAAAAGTCCTGGAGAACAACTGACTCTTCTCCGTTTCCCCCTGAATTTCAAACTCCATCCACCTCCCTCCCACCAGGTCTCACCTTGCCATGGCTTCTCTCCACCTTTCGGAAACACTTGTTCAAGGAGAGATTGTGTCGGACTGAGTTCTTCCAGCCGGTGGGTGCCGTGGCGAAGTAGGGGAAGCGCTCCAGGATCCAGCTGTAGATTTCCTTGACTGGCAAGCTCTTGTTGGGGGAATGCTCGATCGCCATGTAAATGAGAAGGCTGAAAGAGTAGGGGGGTTTGGAAGTGGAGGACTTTTTGGGGGGGTTCTGGTAGCAGGATGGCGAGAAGGATGGCACGCTGTCGCCCTCAATGTCATACAAGGGGCTAACGATCGGAAGACCCTCGCTTCCGAGGCTGAAGTTTGTTAGGAGGTTAGTATTTTCATGCAGCCAGTTCAAATTTGTGAGCTCGTCGTCTGCAGAATCTTTGTCCACCACGGTGGCCTTTGGCCGGCCGGCATCGCCCGCGTCGGGCAAGCTTCCCATCCCGTGACACTGCCGTAGTCCTGCAGCTTTTTCTGCTCCTGGCGTTTCAGCTTTCTTATCCGGAGTCATTCCAGTGACTGGACCCATTTAGCTTTATTGCTCTGCAAACAAAGGAGACCATCAGCAATCAATGGAAACCTTCAAAGTCACGTTGAGCCCACCAAACCCAAAGGCAGTGCTGCACCATCCCCACACCCTGCAGGGATACCACCAGTCGACGATGAGAGCCAGGGTCCAATATGAGCACCCCCAGTAATCTCATGAACACATGTTAACTCTCATCCCCAGTTTATAACCAAAAGGTATGGGAAGCACTTGGAAATGCTCTATTTATCTTGAAACAGCAATTTGGAAAAAGAAATAATAGCTGTTTTGATGTCAACATCTGAAATCTGAAAAAGACCTCAACAAGTAGCATCTAATCCATTCCACACTCACATTAACTTTTTTTTTTTTAATCCATTTACTCATTATGTTGTAAATTGACTCTACTTAGAAGTGTTTGCCCAAAGAGTAAAAAAGAAGTTGCAAAACTTAAATTGGCATCAAGTGAATTAATGGTCTCAGCACAAATGAAGTCTTTACAAGCCTCTACAAGTCACAGACATTCCCAAGTACTGCCTCCCCGTTGCACCAGGGAAAGATCTGGCCAGCCCATCAGTTCAGCTTGGTCCCATGGAGCTGCCTGGGTCCAAAAGAGAAGGCTCCGGGGAGACCTTAGAGCCCCTTCCAGTACCTAAAGGGGCTACAGGAGAGATGGGGAGGGAGTGATAGCACAAGGGGTAATGTTTTTAAACTGAAAAAGGGGAGATTTAGATGAGATCTTAGGAAGAAACTCTTTCCTGTGAGGGTGGCGAGACACTGGAAGAGGTTGCCCAGAGAAGCTGTGGCTGCCCCATCCCTGGAGGGGTTCAAGGCCAGGCTGGATGGGGCTTAGAGCAACCTGGTCTGGTGGGAGGTGTCCCTGCCCATGGCAGGGGGGCTGGACCTGGGTGATCTTGAAGGTCCCTTCCAACCCAAACCATTCCATGATTCGATAAACCTGGCTGGAGATGTATTTGCCCAGCCTCTTTATTTTGGAGGAGGAGAGCGATGTGTGCGATGGAGGCATGACGTGTGTGACACAGAAGGACAAGAGGATACCTCCATCTCACAATCCCTAACAGGAACCAGAGCCCTGCCAGCCTCGGGCAGGCGTGGGGTGCAGAACTTGTGCCTCCCCCAGAAAAAACGTGCACTGGGTTTCCCACCAGCAATTTCTCCTCCTCTTTTCATCTGCTCACACGCTTTCTCACCAGCTCTTTGCCAAGCTGGGTTGACAGCAACACCTGCACCTGTGCTCACCAGTACTCCTGCTGGAAGCCATCCCCAAATTTTCTATTTAAGTGCGGGGATGGGCGTGATTAACTACCAGCTCAGTCATTAAAAAAGAAAACATAAAGCAAAGCGAACCACTCCAATAGCTGGTCAAAAATAGCTTTGCTCTCCCTACAATTTACTTCTCCCCCGAGCCATCAGAGCAGATTTATATTGGCAGGCAGTGATTGCAGGCTTTAAGCACAGCCATGTATACATATGCTTATGTCACTTTTTCAATCCTTCCCAAAATGAAAAAAAAAACCAAACAAGCAAAGAGCTAGTGATAAAAATCATAAAGTGAGACAAACCCAAATCCTGCTGCAACGCGAGCTGCACTGTTTGCCTTATAATGAGTAACTTTACCTCCTTGTTCAGCGCCTCTTTGGGCAGGTACCTACTGGCTCACACCTCTCAGCTGCCTATCAGTAATTTTAACCCTCGGTTCATGTTGCACGAAACATCCCTTTGCAACTCTTCACTCAGCACAGCAGCTCAGGAACATCCACATTCACACACACACACACATGCAAGTTTTGGGTCACTGGATTTATTCCTTCGGTGAACGTGGGGCAATAAAGTCTGTTTTACAACCCAGACGTGGCCTGGGCACTCTCACAGTCCTCTCAAAAATACAGAGGGGAGAAAAACCTGTTAACTCATTAAACTGGCACTTAAAATCACCGAGGTATTGTGGTGTCAACACGGTATTTGTTTGCACACCATTACGTCTTAGCAGAGAATCATTAGAATAATTAATACCCTATTTAAAAAAATAATTCTTTGCAAGCAATATGCTTATAGCAAATAACACAGGCTGGTGCCACCTTCCCTTAGTAGATGCATTACAAAAATCCACATCTCATATTACCTGCTTAGTGCCAAGTTCACCACCTCGCCCATCCTCTACACAAATACATCAGCAGAAATTAAAGTATTTTTTTCTAGAAAGCTCTAAAGGCCATTATTAGACTATTAACATCTAACAAAAAAGGAAAATAAAATATAAAATCACAGTTCCATAATTACTGCAGTTTTCAAAGGTTGTTCTTCAGTGGTCTGGATCGAATACTGCGCCAAGGGTAATTTAAATATAGAAACAGCAGAGGAGGAGTTATTTTAATGAAGTAATACTTAACTCCATTGCAATGGCAGTGATGAGAGGGGTAACATTGAGGACCATCAACTGATAATTTTGGCACGGCCTTTCTGGAGACAAGCACTGTTCCTAGACAGCATCACCTCAGTCCCAACGACCTAACGTGCTTGATCCCAGGCTACCCTACACTTGCTTCACCTGATGTAACCTCCAGTTCTGACTAGTTTACTCTGGCCCGCTGCTGCACCAGTCCAAAGAAGAAACCAACACCGGCAGCCTTTCTACAGCAAAGGACTGCAAAGCCATCAAAAGCTTGCCCTTCTCCTAGACAAAGATCAACCACAGCAGCTCCAAGGGTACCCCACAGATAGGCTCATTAACAGACACGTTAATGTCCGTCTCACCTCTCAAGGGCCATGCGGACCATAGGACCTCCTCACCTCTCATGCTCCCAAGGACTGTATAGCCCATAGGACCTCCTCACCTCTCAAGAGCCACACAGACCATAGGAGGATCTCTATTCTGCTGAGACAGCATTGCTTTCTGCCTCTGGCAGCCTGGTGGGTAGCAACAGCAGCGCCACTGGAGCACGCCTGAAGGCACACAACTGGTCAGCTTGTGTGCTCTCTGAAGCCCCTCTTCATTCACACTGACCCTTAAGGACATCCAAAATTCACAGAATCACAGAATGATACGGGGTTGGAAGAGACCTCTGGAGCTCATCTAGTCCAACCCCCTGCCAAAGCAGGGCCACCCAGAGCAGGTTGCACAGGAACTTGTCCAGGTGGGGTTTGAATGTCTCCAGAGACGGAGACTCCACCACCTCCCTGGGCAGCCTGTTCCAGGGCTCTGCCACCCTCAAAGGTAAGAAGTTCTTCCTCACGTTGATGTGGAACTTCCTATGTTCAAGTTTGTGCCTGTTACCTCTTGTCTTGTCAAAATTCACAATTTCTTTTTCTCCACATGTGCTCTGCTTGGCCGTAAGCAGATGGGGCTGTAAATACACAGCTTCCAAGCTGTCATTTTCAAGATTACCACTTCCAATAGCTGGGGTTTTGTATTCTGTATAAGGGTTGTGCTGTCCAAAGCTGTCTTTGCTGTAAGCTAGCAGGGTTTCGTGAACAGAGATGACCAGGAAAGAGCACAGAAGCAGCTCTCAATGCAGACATCATGATAACATCTGAGATTCCAAGCATATTCAAGGTATTTTTTTCCCCTAGTGTAATGGCTAGAAAGGTTGATGCAAAGAAAGTCAGAGGTAGACACTAGGATTTGCTCTCCACAGTGCTCCCACCCAAGCACTGATGTGAAACAGGGAGGGAGGGAGGGAAGAGGGAAACAACCTTATTTCCAGGAGTCTTGTGATTTTTGGCATCACTCAAGAGCACCCATAAAAGCCAGGAGAGGACCTCCCTGCTGATAAATGCTGATCCGGCACCCAAAGCCCAGCAAAGTCCTGTTCTTCCACACCATTTGCGACCCAAACCCAGGTCTGAAAGGCGCGATTAAGGATTAAGGTGTATCCAGGTCACAGTCAGGTTCAGAGAAGCCCTAACAGATTGGAAAAGATTCAGTGTCGCAAGACAAGGTAATATTTCTACAATCTTTTTTCAAACTCATTGAAGAGCTAAGTTTGGGAGAGGTTATGGGGCCTGGGAGGTCCTTGGCCCAACACATCAGCCCAATACAGATTTGCACGCCTCCCTATATGTCCCCAGCTACCACTTTTTTGAAGGAAGACCTTGAGCACCCCTGTATTCTGGTTTGATGAATGAGCATTTTAGAATACAAAGCTGCTTTAAACCTAGGCCAACTGCTTTAAAAACACTGGAAGTCCACTGAGCATATCCTCTACCAAGCAGGGAAGTGCACTTTTTTTGGAGAAGCCCTTCTTGAAGAAATCTCGATTTCATAGAATCATAGAATGTGTTGGGTTGGAAGGAACCTTTGAAGGTCATCTAGTCCAACCCTCCCTTCCATGGGCAGGGACACCTCCCACTCGACCAGGTTGCCCAAAGCCCCATCCAGCTTGGCCTTGAACCCCTCCAGGGATGGGGCAGCCACAGCTTCTCTGGGCAACCTCTTCCAGTGTCTCACCATCCTCATTGTAAAGAACTTCTTCTTGATATCTAATCTAAACCTACCCTGCTCTAGTTGAAAACCATTGCCCCTCGTCCTATTGCTACTTTCAGGGGACAAAGCCGTAGCAGATACCTCCATCCCACCAAAAGTGGCCTTCTCCAAAACCAGCAGCGTTGCAGGTAACAGTGCACAGACATTTAGTACTTTAGTACTATGGCCACCACACCTGGGGTCCCCGACCTGGCAAGAAAGAATTCAGCCTTCTGGTTAAAAGATGCCATAGCCTTGTTTGTGCCAAATTAGTATGTGAGCAGAGCTGCTGTTGATTGACCCTAACGTTCTCTCCAGTGGCGTCAGATGGAAGGTGCCATTTGGCATCCCTACAACATCAGCACCCCAGGTTAGAACAACCTCCTCCACAACTTAAAGTACCTATTTATTTCTGTAGGACTGGGACTGAGCAACTTGGTCACCTCTGCCAGTAGTGGGAAGACCTGGAACCTACTAACAGTGCAGTAATTTCCCTACTGATTTAAAAAATAATAATAATAATAAATTAAAAAA